GGGAAAACAAGAGAGACAAGATTTGGTGTGAGGACAAATAGGAAAGAAAACACTTTTAATTCTTTGGATTCATGCAAGTCAAATTAAGCATGTCATGACTCCTCTACAGATTTACATTCAAAATTTAATTAAACAATGTTATTATCAGTGTATTCCAATAAACATGGAACCAAATGCAGTTTATAATTCAACTTTTTATATAAGTTTTACTTTCTTAATATCAAAAGGAAATATTTAAATAAATTATCTGTATAATGTGACACTTCTTTGTTCTGACTTGCCCATTTTAGCTTTTCTTTCTACCCCTATATGACTTTGAGTTTGGCACAAATTACAAATTATAGTATTATTATTTGCTAAACCATAATGTAAATTTATAGCCTCCAAGCTTTTTGCTTTACTGAGAAACAAATAAGAATTTAAAACCCACTTGACATGCCCCTACTATTACCTTCTGTCTTCTAAAAAAAATATCAATAATTCTCTCTGACATTTGTTATTGGACAATTTATAACCAACAGAATGAGAATATTCTATTTTACTGGATTCTTTACAAGGCTAGTTGTTTAATATTACTGGTTTTTAAATTTCCAGCCTCAGTTTCATTGCTTGCTATTGTGGAGTTTGGCTCAACCAGCTAAGGAGAATTATTTTAACCCATTTATAACTTAGTTAGAAGGGCCAGTTAAATTATAGCAGTTTTAGAACATTTGTTTTTGCGTACATGATAATACTGTGTTCTAAGTTTAATATCTGACATAAATATTTTGTGGAACCCTAACACTGTTACAAAAAAGTAGGCTTACACTTCTTTGGTCTTCTAAGGGCATAAGTACTAAATTTCTTGTTTTGTTTGCACATTTTTCATTTATTTTTCTAAAATCTAAATGTTATTATAATGGAAAAATTATAAACTTATTGGGTTAGGTGAGAAAACATAAATGAAGAAATGAAGTAATAAAATTACTTATGATAACACGTACACATCACCTCATAATGTGTGCTTATAATTTGACTGTGCATGCTGGTAACCTGATCCTTTGTTTACCCAAATCTGTCCATCTGCCCTACTGTGACAAATAGCTTTCAATGTACTTTGAAAGGGTCTAAGTGTAGCTGTAAAGTTTACAATAAAACTAAATGAACCCAGATATGAAATCTATATTACCTTTGACTGTAAGAATAAATAATATAATTGTCTGTTACACTATGCAGTCATTCTATACAGAAAAAAGGGTAATTTAGATATATTTCCTATTTTTAAATTTTTCATTACCCTAAATTGCTGATTTCTCTAAAGTTAGTGTTAAGGTACAGAAAATAACAGATAAATAGCTTCTGAAAAAAATCAACTTATATTAATTTATAAGGTTCTAGAGGTTATGTAAATGAAATATGAAAACTGTAAGATGAAAAGAAGTACTTTTGTTCTTAGCATGAAAATTACCTTTCTCACATACTGATCCAGTAAAAGTTTCATAAATTCAAACAAATCCTTAGTAAAAATACTATATTAAAAAATCAGATTTCTTTGTGTCCAACATACTTTTAATGTTGTAGTAACTAAAAGCTTGCCAAGTTTTGTAAAAACATACTTAGTATGTTGAGAGTTATAATAGGTATGATTACATGATTAGTTAGAAGGTTAGTCAAAATGATCGAGACCATACACAGAGCTAAAAAAAAAAGAATCCTTCTTATTGAAAATTAAATTAAAATAATATAAAACTATGTGAAAAACAAAATTAAACATGCCATACTTTGTAAAAAGTATTTACAGAGTTGAAGACTATATGCACAATTGAAAAAAAAACTTCAAGGACACATTGTTGTTGGTGAAAAGTTAACTCCACAGTAAATTAGGACCCTACATATTTGAAACAAGATGGAGTTGAAAGGGTCAAAACTATTCCATAACTATGAGAATCTTCAGAGATAGTGAGTATGAAAAGAAGGCAAAGGAAAAGGAAGGAATGCTAAAACCAAAGGAAGAGGTAAAAAAAAGAAAGAAGGTTTGTTTTGGATATACATGCGAAGCTACACAAGCATTATCCCCACTACCCATCCTTAATTTTGAACCAATATACTAAATATATGACTCAACAGCACTCATGACCAACTCTTGTCTAAACAAATAGTGGGATTTGACCATCACAGGTTCAGAGTGCAGAGCAAGATTTTGATGCAATGGGATATTAACCACATACCCTCAGATACACACTTTGGTATGCTAATCAATAGGCTACATTCAGCCCAAGAAAGAGGGAAGATCAAAATGAAATGAACAATACAGACTAAGGCTCTCAGATTGAGAGATAGAGCATTTGGAAAAAGTGGATTGTGAAAAGAACTGGTACAAAGGATAGAAAATATTTTGAAATAAGAAAATGAAATCAATATACACGGGCAACAATACAAGTGGTAATCAGGAAGTGGAAAAAAAAGAAGATTATTATGATATTTGCAGAAAAAAAAAATGGAAAGAGATGAAAGGATAGTAGTATTAACAAAAATTAGATGTGAAAATGGTTTGCAGGGAAAGAAGTATTAGAAAACACCAGAAGAAACCAAGTGTAGTTTATGAAAGACAAAAAAAGGAAACAACAGAATATATATCAGTACAAGTTGTATTAAAAGTAGCCTGGATTGAGTAGAGAAAGATAACCAAAAGGAAGATGTTTAACCCTATGAATGCAGGTAGGTCAAATTTCATGTCATGACTTTTGACAGTTACATTCAAAATTTAATTAAGCCACTTTCTTATAAATGTATGTCAATATACCATAAGTAGTAAATCAAATTGTATTATAAGTTAATTTCTTAATTTCAAAAGAAAATATTTAAATAAATTCTCACTCTTTACTTGTCTGTATTAAGTGATACTTGTTCACTCTGAATTGTCTATATTTGATTTTCACATCACCCCTTTATGATGTTCTGATCTTGACATAAATTACACATCTGTGGTCTACATATTGATATGGCATAGGCTAATTTTATAGCCTCCAATCTTCCTGGATTACATATACATAAAGCAGAAAGACAAACCCACTTGCCATGCCTCCTATCATATCTTGTTTTTCACAAAACACCAATAATTCTCTCAGACATTTGATCATGGATTATTTATAACCAACAGAAAGAGATTTTAATTTACTGATTTCCATACAAGGCTAACTTATCTTTACAACAGTGTTTGAATTATTCGGGCTACAGATACATTGATACTATTGCTGAATTCACATCATCCATGTAAGTGAATTATTTTAAAGCTCTTATATCTTAGTTAGAAAGCCAATGAAATTATAATAGTTAGAGACATTGTATGTTTTGAGCATGTTATTATTATGCAATCTTAACTGCGTACAAGTAATATATTTCTTGCTTTTTATGTACATTTTTTATTTGTTGCTATAAAAGTAACTAAAATGTAGAAATTAGAAACATATTACGTTAGGTAAGAAATCTAAAAAGTTAAATAATAAAAAAACTTTCTCAGCTAGTTCTGTACACAAGCTGCCTGTGCATTACATTATTCAACAGTTCTGTAACTTGAACTACACATTCATTGTGTTTTTTACAGCTTGTTAAGCTGGTTTAGTAGTCAGATATGGTTCAAAAACCAATAAAACAACAAAATCATGTGAAAATAAATGTAAATTACTAACAGACTGAGAATGTTTGGGAAAAAAAATTTTATTTTTTTTGTTACAAACTGCAGCAATACTAGAAAAACAAAAGCTAATTTAAATTTATTTGATTTCTTATGGTAGTTACAAGGTTGATCCAATGGACCATGTCTGCAGTGTCAGGGAGAGAATATAATAAATAAATTACAAAACTTCTAGTATAAGCAAGTGAAATTTGAAAATTGTAAAATGAAAAACGTATTTTTAACCTTAATATGAAAACCACCCTATACTTAGACTATTCAGAGTTTGAGTCACAACCAGACTCCATAAATTCACAGACAAATCTTTAGTAAAAATACTTAAGAAATCTGATTTTCTGTGTACACATGACTTGTAAAGTTTACTAAAATGTTGCCAAATATTGTGAAGATACATTTATTGCATTAAAAGTTGTATATACTTGTATAGTAACCTGGTAGTTACATGGTGGAAGCAAGGTCAATCAAAATAACCAAGCCTGTATAGGGAGATTTAAATGGAAATATAGTTATAAAGACTGAAGTAACATTGACAAGAATAGATGAAAAATATTAGAGATAAAGAGGGGAGAAGGAAAAGGTGGAAAGGTAGATGGGTGAAAAGAAAGAGAGAGAAGAGTAGGAAGAAACAATATGCTTCATTTAAATTTAACTTGGTTGATACAATAACTATTAATGGTTTATTTATTAACTATTATCCTTATACTTCATTAAGCATTTTGTTTAATTACATATCAAAATAAATTACACACAATATCATAGAAGTGTAATAAATCCTATTCAATGAAGTGGTGCTTAATGTTTATAAAGTAATATGTGAATACATATTCCATTCAAAAATTATTTTAGAAACTTGAGAGAACCTAAGTAAACTTTAAAATCATTTTTCTTTTATTGCTAACACTTAAAAATAAACAAGAGTTGGATGATAACTAGTACGAGTTTTTTTTAGATAGCCCTTTGTGTAAAGCTACACGAGGGCTATCTGCACTAGCCGTCCCTAATTTAGCAGTGTAAGACTAGAAGGAATGCAGCTAGTCATCACCACCCACTGCCAACTCTTGGGCTACTCTTTCACCAACAAGTAGTGGGATTGACCGTCACATTATAATGCCCCCACGGCTGAAAGGGCTAGCATGTTTGGTGTGATGGGGATTCGAACCTGCAGATTGCGAGTCGAGCTCCCTAACCATCTGGCCATGCTGAGACAACTAGCACAAATACCATCACAACTGTCATTAAATAAAAATAGAAACCAATTAAAAGCATTGTTCATTAAAAAAATTATTATTTAATATATTATAAAGAAAACTGACAAAAAATCACTCACCACTTTACTCTGCAATGTTATAACACGTCGAATTCTAAAAGGCAGAACATCCTCTTTCCGAGTCAACAGGTAGAGAAGATGGCATGCAAAAGGGCTCTGAGAAATGGAAGAGAAGCATAAACTCTAATGAAGTTAGAAATAACTTCTTGCATCATAATTTTCATGGAAGACATACTGTAATCTATGTATGTCTATAGTTTCCTTAACTTTAATATTTTACTACTGATTCAGGAGTGCAAAAAAAAAATCTTATTTATATGCGTGAAAATGAATTTGAGAATAATCTACAAGTACTGTTACATATCTAGAAAGACTGATTTCAGTAACGTGGATGTGCTAACAGCATAGAAAACTTTGAAACCATACTGCATAAAACTTAATTTTTGTAATTTATATTCCTGTTTATTTCTTATCAAGACAATTTTATTATCCATTTCCATGTACTCCATAAATGGATAAAATGACATAAAAAAAAGGTCACAAAAATTAGGTGTAGATTCCTGACTTCTCTTATCTATAAATAATTTTCTATGGTTTTGCCTAGTTGATGATTTTTGTGATTTTTCTAATAAGGTTTTCTGCATACAAAAAAATGTTACAATTTCTAAGCTTTAGAAAGTTAGATATAATCCTATTCACAGATTTATTGCTGGAAAGCTAATAACTTTATAATGAGAACAAAGCAATTTTTAATACAAGTATTATGAAAAAAAAAACATGGGAAAAACATCACTAAAAAAGAAATCATATACAGATTTTAGGATTAAATTAACTTTGTTTCTCCCCAGTTTAAAGAATATAAGACTACAGTGTTATATAAATATGTAGCGTAATAGTCTTCATCAGTCTGCCTACACTCATACACAGATGTTTCTCACACATTGTGCTTGTAGAGTTTGAAACAAACTTATTTCAACACTGGCAATGCCAATTAAGTCTGGCATGGTTTGGTGGTTAGGGTACTTGACTCGCAATCTTTGAGTCAAAGGTTTGAATCCCCATCATCAAACATGCTCATCCTTTCTAGCCGGGGGGGGGGGGAGGGGGTATATAGTGTGAGTGGTCGATC